GCGGTCTCTGCTGGTGGTGCAGAGCAGCGCGGCCAAGTCAGGAAGGGAACGGCTGAGCAGACAACTGCAGGAACTCTCCTCAAAAAACGGCGAGAGGAATCTCGTCCACAGAGCCGATGAGACTGGCCGTGAATCGTCATGACAGGTAACTGTAGGACTGCAGGGAATCTCCACAACTGGAACTGGAACGGGAACGTGTAGCCTCGATGAACGGACAAGACGATCTGGCAGCGGGGAGTGTGTGGCTGCAGCTTAAATACACAGCGACAGCCGGTGAGCGCAGGTGGGGCCAATCGCTTGATTGCAGCGCTGCAGCAGGTATGACATTTCTTGTGCTAAATACAGAACAAATATGATTTTTGCCTGCTATGATACACTCGGTTTATGACCTCTGGATACTGAGCTCAACCCTTCTTGACAAAGTATAATCCAAGAGTTTTGTAAAACATTAATGTTCTGTAACGTTTGTGTCATACTTTCAGTTGTGAAGTATGCAACTGAGATGTTCTGAAAACTGAAACTTTTAAAGAGCTGTGACATTTCAAAGCCATGAACACTGTAAAATAAATTGAACCAAACTGAGATGAACCTAAACCTAATCTTCAATTTGTTGGTTTTTTTTTTACCAGTGTAGGTAAAGGGTGGAGGAGTGATGGTGTTTGCAGTTGATTAAAGTCCACACTCAGAAGAAAGAAAATGAAGGAGAGGCTGCTCCGCGGTTTGCTCTCGGAGATCTCCGTGCGGATGCTTTTGTTAGTAGTTTTCCTGTAAGTACTAGCAGCATATTTGTCATCTTTACCAGTGCTTTCTTGAACTGTTAGTTAGAATCTAAAAACTTGTCTTATTTCAAATTTTTATTTAATTTATTTTGTATTTTTTCACTGAATTTGTGGTTAATTTAGAGTGACTGAGCAGCTCCCTCCCTTCAACCGGGAAATCCAGGCAGAGGAGATGTGGCTGTACAAGTTCCATCGTGTGGAGCGAGACCATGTACCCACCTCTCTCATGTTTGTAAGTAGTGTGTACTAATGTTTACAATTTAAACTGGGATAGAGTTACTCTCTTTTATACTTGTCCAAAACCTATCTTCCATTTTATTTCATTACGAAACCAAGACAAACCCACTGCTTTAATGACTGACTTTGAAAAGCACTCTGAAGTCTCAGTGTGGTTGTTTGGTTACCTAATAAAGCATTCAGTGTTTATTAGAGTCATGAATAAAAATTAAAATTAATTAAAATTAAAAATAAAATGTTATTGATCTTCATTCAGACCTGCTGCTCAGGATTTGTTTTTCCCTCTCTGAGTTCCTGCGTCAACACTTGTCTTTGCTGGTGCTTCTCGAATTTCTCTTTATGACTGTTTGAAATTGACAGTGTCAGATTTTGTCTAAATGCAGTTCTGAGAAAACATTGAGACATTAAATGAACTTCTTAGATTCATGTATTCTTGAAGGTTACAGTGACCTTGGCGATTTTACACAAACATAAATTGGTAGAGTGTAGTGGTAGGATTTCTATCTGCACTGGAGGAAGTTGCCGGTTTAAAACCATCTAGTCCTTAAGGCTAATCGTTTTGGGTCAGAATAGGCATCTGGCCATAAAGCTGTCAAATCATGCTGCAGACCAAAAAGTGTTCATCTGAAAGCCATGGATTCAGTTTTTAAGTCTTACTAATTATTAAAAATAAAGCTAAAGCTAATAGGGGACAAAAAGACCATTTTCAAAAATCCATTCTTAAACAGCAGGCATTGATGAGCCTTTAATTTTTCTCTTTTTTTTTAGAGTGTAGCTTTCTTCACCCCATTGATTGTAATCCTGGTTTTCACATTCATGAAGAAGTCGGAGCAAGGAGAACTGAGAGAGGCCTCTCTGGGTGAGTACCAGGAGTGCAGCATTAAAAACTTAGAACTCTTGAAAAGGCTTATCTGAGTATCTAACATCCTGAAATGGTTCAGACCAAATATTTGGTTTTCTCTGTTTTGCTGACTTAGAGCCAGTGTTGTCACCAAGCCTGTTTGTTAGAGGTCAAGTCAGGAGTCATTTCACAATAGTCAAACATATTGAAACAGAACATCTACAACAGAAGAACCTACTGTCAGGATTATTTTTTTACCATCCCGGCCATGCAATAACACCGACTGCTGCCTAAACATCAACTTTTAACTTTTGATACTTACTGTCCTTCTCTCTGTCCTCCAGCTGTGACTCTGACTCTGGTTTTGAATGGAGTTTTCACCAATGTCATCAAACTGGTGGTAGGCAGGTAAACACTACATCCAATGCTGTAAATCAGCAGACTGACTGTAGTGAAGTTACACTGTGTTAAACCCTCGTTCTCCTTCTTCGTCTCTCGTCCTCTCAGGCCTCGGCCAGATTTCTTCTACCGCTGTTTCCCAGATGGTCAGATGAACCTGGAGCTGCGCTGCACTGGTGACCCAGATACTGTTATGGAGGGCAGGAAGAGCTTTCCCAGCGGGCATTCCTCCTGTAAGAAAGCCTGCCTTTTGTGTCTCGCTTTTTCTCTCCCTGCCGTAATATCATCAGTTCTCTGAAACAAAATGTCATGTTGTTAAAAATTCTACTACTCTATTTAATTAGAGTTCTAGTTAATCTTTAGTTCTATCTTTTTTTATTCACTCTTTTCTCTTTTTTTTTCTATGGAAACAGTTGCCTTTGCAGGTCTGGGTTTTACAGCCTTGTACGTCGCAGGAAAGCTGTGCTGCTTTAATTCTGTGGGTCAGGGCAAAGCCTGGAGGTTGATTGCCTTCCTAATGCCCCTGCTGGTTGCCACTTCGATTGCCCTCTCCAGAACATGTGACTACAAACATCACTGGCAAGGTCAGCAATCACACAAAAGATGATTATTTTTAAATTACAGTGGTGGTAGTGTGAGAGACACAGAGCGAGAATTAGATGTTGACATAACCTTTATATACAGTCGTGTTCAAAATAATAGCAGTGTTTTATAAAACGTGAGTAAAGCTCAAAATCCTTATAATATTTTTATTTCCATTCGTTGGGAACACTGCACATTATATTTTTCATCAACCCATGAAAAGTACCAATATTTTAATTACTTAACAGAAAATGAAGGAAAAAAATATATTGGGCTGTTCAAAAAAATAGCAGTGTCTGCATTTTTCATTACAAACTTAAATATTTACTCAATAAATTGAAAAAAATGTGATGATTTAGCATTCCTGTGAATCACTAAACTAATATTTAGTTGTATAACCACTGTTTTTGAGAACAGCTTGACATCTGTGCTGCATGGAGTCAACCAGCTTCTGGCACCTGTAAACAGGTATTCCAGCCCAGGATAATTTGACAACTGTCCACAATTCCTCTGCATTTCTTGGTTTTGCCTCAGAAACAGCATTTTTGATGTCACCCCACAAGTTTTCTATTGGATTAAGGTCCGGGGATTGGGCTGGCCACTCCATAACCTTAATTTTGTTGGTCTGGAACCAAGATGCTGCACGCTTACTGGTGTGTTTGGGGTCGTTGTCTTGTTGAAACACCCATTTCAAGGGCATTTCCTCTTCTGCATAAGGCAGCATGACCTCTTCAAGTATTTTGATGTAAGCAAATTGATCCATGATCCCTGGTA